CCCACAGTGCACTTCTCAAACTAATGGAAGCTCAGCTGCCCAGGCCCTGGAAGCCCCGACCAGTCCCTGGAAGCAGATGCTCCACCTGGCTCAGTGGCCTTTTGCCAGCTGAGACCATTAACCAATAATAGCTGCATTTCCAGAAAATTAGGCAGTGCTAATTTTAATCTTGTTCCCTGTTTAGAAACTGAAGTCCAGAGAGGTCAGACCTAGGGCATCTCCTCCACGTTTTCACAGCGGCCTAAGAATGTCTGCATCCCGCCATCTCCCCTGCAGGCTTCAAGCATCCTGAGGACATGGTCCTGCTAGATCCACTTCCATGACCCCAAGTCTCAGGTCAGGATTATAATATATCTGTCAAAGGGCTGAATGAGAACCTTCTATGGGAGCTGCCACAGTAGATGCCCGGCCCGTGTCCCCTTGGCACTTCATGCCTATGACAGCTTCCTCATCCCACGGAGGGAGGGGAGCTTTTTCTCTCTCCAAGAGTTTTTTCTAGTTGAGGAAGCGCACTTGGCCCATGCAAGAGGTAGGTAGTTATGCTGGGGCGGTTAGAGCCTTCAGCAGTATTCTTCCACCCACGAGGGCTCGAAGTTGCAGGTGAATGATCCAGGGCAAAGGAGAAAGAGGGCTGGAAGGTTTGCAGTGTGTTTGGCTGTTAGCATAACTGACGCCATCTTGGGCCTGTTCATTTCCTCCTGTCCTTCCACTGACCCTACCTAGGACTGTACTGTGTAGTAAATCTCTTCTCTGTCGTCAGTGGTTTTGTAATTAATAGATATTGTTTAACGATCATGAGGTCCAGGTAGTCTCCAAATAATGATAAAGACCTTCGCTTTTCCTGGCATATTCCTGGCACCCACCCATCATAAATCAGATAAGGCCTTGACTTACTTACTTACTCCAAGCACTTACCCCCATACCCTAGGTTAACTATAAAATGGTGATGGTCCCTCGGAGGTGCGGAGTGCAGCTGCCGATGCCTCCAGACTGCCATACGCCCCATCCAATCCGCACGTAAGTTACCCGCAATAAACGTCACAACTGTACTTTATGGAGCTGACTGCCTCGTTGTTTGGTCTCAAGATACCTTCTCAGTTCGTTGGGCACTTTTCATTCCCTCTGTCCTCGGAGACAGTTTTAGATGGGGAATTCTCATGACTCAGTCCAGAACCAACTGGAGGATATATGGTGTGGGCACTCTGGTCTCCTGCAGAAATTCTCATCAGAACGACTGGAAGAACAAGGTACAGTGCAGATCCCCAGGCCCATTCTCTCAGCTTCTGATTCAGAAGTATGCCGTGTTGGTTTCCCGGGCGCAGGGCTGGGGAGCTGTAACACGGTACCACCAGCTGGGTGGCTTATAGTAACAGAAATGTACTATCTCACAGTCTGGAGGCCAGAAATCTGAACCTAAGGTGTTGGCAGGGTTTGTTCCTTCTGGAGGCTTTGAGGGAGAATCTGTTCCAGGCCCTCTCCTGGCTTCTGTTGGCTCTGGGCCATCCTTGGCTTTCCTAGGTCTGCACATGGATCACACCAATCCCTGACGCCATTTTCACAGTCTTCTCCCTGAGTCTGTGTCTCTTTTCTTATTAGGACACCAGTCATATTAGGACACCAGTCATATTAGGACACCAGGCAAGGGTCCCCTGCCCCAGTATGACCTCATCTCAACTAATTATATCTGCAACAACACTATTTCCAAATAAGGTCGCCTTCTAAGGTCCTGGTGGCTAGACCTTCAGCATATCTATTTCGGTGGGGGGAGACACAGTTCAACCTGTAACAGATGCAGCAATTCTAAACGCTAACAACCCCCCGGGAGATTCCGACATGACCCCCTGTGACTGTGGCACTTCCGTCTGGTTCTTCTTTACAGAGCCTTCTGCAGAGGCAAGGCCTGTAACAACGGTACACGGAGCAGGACCAGTCTGTTGCACTTTGACAGCCGGGCGTGCAGAGAATGAAAGGAAACAGAACTACTGGAGGGAGGCAGCGAGGGGCAGCATGGTCCCAGCGGAGCATGAAGGGAAGCCTGGCTCGGCGTCTTGGCGTCCCCTACTGTCACCCCACTGGCCACATGTCTGAGGTCGGAAAGAAGGTACTTGACTTAATTTTCCAGCTACTCAAATGCCAACACAGCAGGTGCTTCAAAAACAGGATTGCAGAAGGAAGTGCAGGATGAATAGCGCCGACTTTTTTTTCTTGGTTTAAAAGGAAATCTCTTGCTTTGGGGCAGATCATGCCTCATGAATTGACTTCTCACAGGCACTTTTGTAGAAGAGAAACCGCAGCAGAGAGGGTTATGGGTAGATGCACTGTGGCTCCCTTCCCACGTACTTTGTGGAGCAGGGATGGGGTCTGACATGGAGGGGTCGACGTGATGCTCAGACAGCATCGAGACACCAAGCCGTCCACCTGGATAGTTTTATGTGGTGGGTGGGGAGAGGCTGGGGGAAAGGCACTCCTCCCAGAACACCTGCTCTGACAGGTAGCCTATAGCCTCAGAGCCACGGGGGAGCACCTGAGGTGAACAGAGAGGCAGGGATGAAAGAGCAGGAACCTCGGTGAAACCCATGCACATCTCCCCTTACGGGCCATCTTCTTTCCTGCCTCCTGCTTTTGCATATGCTGGTCCTTGACCCCGCAGCCTCCATTGGAAAATGACTTCCACCCTCCCTCTGTTAACGGTGCCAGCCTCACTTCAAATCCATGATCACAACTCTCAAAGGGGTTCTCAGCACGGCTGGGCGATCCTACCACATTTCCCTATCCATTCACTCTTTTTTTTTTTTTTTTTTTTTTGCGGTACGCGGGCCTCTCACTGCTGTGGCCTCTCCCGTTGCGGAGCACAGGCTCCGGATGCGCAGGCTCAGCGGCCATGGCTCACGGGCCCAGCCGCTCCACGGCATGTGGGATCTTCCCGGACCGGGGCACGAACCCGCGTCCCCTGCATCAGCAGGTGGACGGTTAACCACTGCGCCACCAGGGAAGCCCTATCCATTCACTTTTCCATGTGAGAAAGAGCACCTAATTGGTCGAAGCCACTAAATAGTTAGATTTCTGCTAAAGGCAGCCAGAGGCAACCCCTAACAACACAAGGACGGATATCTCATGTTCATCTTCTTTTAAAGGGAAACAACTTGGATTCTTCGGATTCTAGATTGAAGCATCTTCTGGCACGCGGCACAATACGCAATGTGATTGCTCTCCGCTCGGGTCCGTCACCCCTCTGCCTTTTCACAGGCTCACATTTGCCATCCAGGCACTCTCTGAGGACCCTTCAGACATGTCTGAACTGATAAAGGACCCGAGGCAAGGTTGCCTGGAGCCCACCATCACTTTGGCCCAAAGTGCCCAAGCTGGTTTGAGCGGAAGTTCCCAGGACTGGGTGTCTACCGCTGGGAGGGACCATGAGCCTCAGAGCAGGCAGGACCACAGGGAAATTGTGATGAGCTCTGAAACCGCTCACCACGTCAGCACCGCCCCCTCGCCTCGCCCCGCCCCGTCCCAAGTCTGACGCGCTGTGTTGCGGAGGCACTTCCCGTTCTGCTGGGACCAAGGACGTAGTCTCGCAGTGGGTGAGGCTTGCTCCTCCAGCTTGGTGTGTGTGTCTGGGCTAACCTGGGCATCCACCAGCCCTAGAGCTTTAGCTGACCAGGATAAATGACAGGCTGCAGTGTCCTTCACCTCCCCCAGTGCCCACTGGGAATGGGGCCCCGCCCTGCGCCCCCCACCCCCGACCTAAACAACTCTGCCCCGGGGCCCTCACCTCGTGCTGCTCCACCCTCCGTGCACGCTTAGGGAATACAAACTTCTTCAACAGCCGCTGGTCCCTGTGTCTGCCAGGCCGTCTCGTTCTCTGGGCACTGTCCTGACTCCTGGAACTCCACGCCTTGCCCTCCTCGCCCGTCAGGACTCAGCCGGGCATGCTGGCTCCAGAAGCTTCCCTGACACCCAGGCTGAGCCTGGCACCTGCTGTCGGAGCCACGCCTGGGCTGCCGTTTTCCATATCATGCATCCCCAGTGCTGCTGTCACCTGCTATAAGCTGAAAATGGCGGAACGCTGGTGAACGCCTAAGGGCCAGCCTGGCATGTGTCCATCTGGCCCTCCTGGAGGTAGGGAAGCGCATCCCATCATCTCCACAAGCCCAAGGCCTAGTTGAGTGTTGGCCAAATGGGGCTGATGTGCTGTCAGTCCTGCCTACAGGGCTTCAGCTCCTGCTGCATGAGCCCACGGCTGCCCAAGCCTCTGCTCTGACTCATCAGGCACAGGTGGATGAACCCCCAGATAGTAACATCAGCTGGGACCAAGCCTGAGCCTCTGCTTCCTTGACTGCTGTAAGGGCAGTCATGCGGCCAGGTCCGACCCCAGCTTCGCCCCTCCCAACTCAGCATCATCCTATCTCCTGCCAGCCAATGATGCTGGGGTCCTAGCACAGTCCACACCACCTCACCCCATCAAATAATAACAAGAACAATGACAATAACAACAACAACAATAATAGTAACCCTTTTCATGAGGACTCCTACCATGCCAGGTATTGTATGAACAGCCTCATTTAACCTTACAACAAACACACTGCAAGGGAGTGATTTCCACTTTGTCACTGCTGAAAATGAGGCTCAGTGACGTTAAGTGACTTGCCTTAGGTCACTCTGGCAGCGGAAGAGCCAGGACTTGATCCCGGGCAAGTTTGCTCCAGAGCTTGGGCACGTAACCGTCTGTAGGCCTGCCCCTCTGCGCCAGCATCCTGTGTGCCGGCTTGGTCCTCCTGTGGCCACCCCACTTCATATGAACACCCTGAGGCCCAGAGAGGTGAAGTTAGCGCCTTGCTCAGGCCACATGGCAGAGGCAGGATTAGAACAACGGCGTCCACCTGCTGTTTCCCTTCCAGTGTCGTGGCTGGCTTCATGGGGGGCCAGGGACCCCGATTCCCCCAGGGAGACTTTCTGCCCTTGGAAGGGCTCTGCCCAGCAGATGCTGGTGGTGGACTTACTTCTCTCTGTTGAATATGATGAATTCTTTCCGCACTGTCTCCAGGCACTGCTGGAGGTGTCCATTCTGTCAAAGAGCACAGAGAGGGGACTGTAAGTGATGAAGCATCATCCGGGGAGTGAGGGCGAGCAGAGACTGATCTAAATGGGGCTGGGGACAATCAAAGCGGCTGGAGCAGCCCTGATTGTAGTGGCGGCTGTGCCACCGGGGGTGGGGAGGGGGGCTGGCAGACAGAGATGCTTTTCTCCATTTGAAGCCATTAAATCCAATTTAAAAGCCATGTTAAAACGGAATAGGAATTGAAAATCATGACCTTGGTTTCCTGATCACTTGAATGTTCGTTAGTCCTAATTAAGAAGCATGGTGGGGAGAGGGAGAGATTTAAGGCCATCGTGCAAAGGTGCTCAATCTCTTCAGGGACAGGTGCCCAGGACCACCCGTCCCACGGATGCTCTGTAATACACGTCTCAGAGGCTGCCTGGATGCAGAATGTACACTGCATGCCTGTGCAGGAACCCCACACCCTTGTGTGCCCTTACGTACACACACCCAGCCCTTCCCAGGCCAACTTCTGCATTAGGCTCTGCAGGCACTGGCCTAGGCTCCACGATACTCTTAGGGGCTACAAAGATGTTTTAATTTCTTTTCAAATAAGCTGAAAAAAATGAATTTTTAAATTTGAAAGTTATATTCATCTTCCTACCAATGTAATCATGCACTACAATTTTTAATATATTTTGATGGAGGAAGGGGCAGTTGTGGGTTGAATTGTGTCCTCCAAAAAGGTATGTTGTGGAATGGATAAAGAAGATTTGTATATATACAATGAAATACTACTCAGCCATGAAAAAGAACGAAATAATGCCATTTGCAGCAACATGGATGGACCTGGAGATTATCATACTAAGTGAAGTAAGTCAGAAAGAGAAAGACAAATACTGTATGTTATCATTTACATGTGGAATCTAAAAGATGACACAAATGAACCTATCTACTAAGCTGAAATAGACTCACAGACATAGAGAACAGACTTGTGGTTGCCAAGGAGGGGGTGGGGGAGGGAAGGAGTGGGAGTTTGGGATTAGCAGATGCAAACTATTATATATAGAATGGATAAGCAACAAGGTCCTACTGTATAGCACAGGGAACTATATTCAATACCCTGTGATAAAACATAATGGAAAAGAATATGAAAAAGAATGTATATATGCGTATTACTGAATCACTTTGCTGTAGAGCAGAAATTAACACAACATTGTAAATCAACCATACTTCAATAAAAAATAAAAAATAATATTTTAAAAAGATATGTTGAAGTCCTAACCCCCTAGACTGGTGAATGTGAGCTTATTTGGAAACAGGGTCTTTGTAGATGGAACTAGTTAAGCTGAAGTCACCCTGGAGCGGGGTGGGCTCTACATTTGACAACGGGTGTCCCTAAAAGAGGGCCGTGTGAAGACACAGAGAGGAAAACGCCACGTGAAGGCGGAGGGAGAGATGGAAGTGATGCAGCCGTGAGCCAAGGGATGTGAAGGGCTGCTGGCCACCGCCAGAGGCTGCAAGAGGCAAGGAGGGACCCTCCCCATAGCCTTTGGAGAGAGCAAAGCTCTGTCAATACCTGGTTTTGAACTTCTGGCCTCTAGAATTGTGTGAACACATTTCAGTTGTTTTAAGACACCAAGTGTGTGATACTTTGTGTTGGCAGCCTAGAAAATGAATGCAGTGGCCCACAGAGTGTGGCCCTGGGTGCCTCCACAGTATAAAACCTCTGCAGAGGGTGCTGGGGGCTACTCGGAACAGCGCTGGTGTCGCTCAACATCATTTCTTCTGCTCTTGCTAACAGATACGGAGGTTCCTGCGCTAGGAACAGTGCTAATGTGAATGATGAGAGCACGGATATGTCCCTCTACAGGGATGATTTCACAGGGTCCTGCTATGAAAGACCACTTGTTCGATGGAGGCATTTTATTGACTGCAAATGAACGTATTTGGTGGGGCAAAGTGACAAGCCCCCCATCTGGCTAAGAAGCAGCTCAACCATATTCACTGGAGTATAGGATTCCTCTCTGCCTGGGGTTTGCTCCTGAGACGGCACTCACCAGAGGACAGCTGTCCTTCGTGCCATCTTTGGACCTGTTCTTTGCCAACCTCTTCTTCTTTTTGTGAAGTGGTTTGGATTCAAGAATCATTTCTTCAAGTTCAAATGTGGGATCACAGTTCAGTCTCCCTTTCTGAAAAGAAATGGAAAAGAAAACACGGTTTGCCTTTGTTCCGTGCCATTGAATTGTATTTTCATTCATCCATTCATTCAATCAATCATTCATTCATTCAACAAGGAACAATGAACTACTCCTATGGGATACGTCAGCTACACTTTCTTCCTGATAATGAACAGTGACACACCCTCGCTGCACACGTCATTCACTTATCCCCATAATCCCGCCCACCTTGCACACCCCACTTATTAACATCCACAGGTTCCCTTGATCTCCTTACGTATGTTCATTTCGTGAGGTTGAGTTCAGTTTTCCAATCTGTTCTTTTCACTTATTTTCTCATACTCTCCTTCTCATGTCATTACTACCTTTTCTATAAATATCATTTTTAACAATTCCATTTAAAAATACCTTTTCTGGCCAAAATCTACCCAGTTCCCCATCCTGGCTCCCTGTTCTCCTACAGCTAGAGCCAGCTGACCCTCAGGCCTGGCTCTGCCCTAGGCTGGGCTCCTGCCACTTTGGTCAGGAGCAATATTGGTCTCCCTGACTTATCCCAGGTGGCTCTTTTCCATCCTGAGACCCAGCCCAGGATGCTGGCCCTCTCAGGCAGCACAGGCTGGTGGTTATAACATCAATGGCTCTGAAGGTGCTCAGAAAAAACAACAACCCAGTTCTGCTGCTTTCTGACCTTGAACTTCTTTGGGACTCAGTTCATTATCTGTAAAGTCTGGATAAGCATTCCTCCCTCATGCAAGATTAAACAAGTTAATAAAGTTCTTCATGTAGGGCCAAGTGAGAAGTGAGTCCTTGAGTAGGTGTCCCTGTTCCTGATTGGATGGGGGCCAGGGAGGGGAGGGACCATGCACAATCGGGCGGGGGCTGCCAGCCTTGCCACTGAGTCCTACAGCCTCACCTTTCACCTGCGTGTCTTTGAGGGAGACATATAACCTCTCTCTGCCTCAGTTTCCTCATCTGTGTAAAATGCAGCAGGCTCAGTGGGTTGATGAGGATTAACCGAGATAGTGCTTGCAAATCTTCTAGAATGGGTCCTTCCTGATCCATGGCAGGCCTGCAATGACTGACCACTCCCTCTGCTGCCCTGCAGTCCCAGCCGCCTCCCATGGGAGCCCCAGCCTTAAACCCCAACTTATAAGCGAGGGTCTTGCTACCTGCCATCAAACTTGCCTTGGCCAGGCTGCCTCACCCCTCGATGTCAGCCAGTGCCCTGCCATGGCCAGGGCAAGAGGAGGAACCAGGGCTTTGCAGATAGAACTGGGGCAAGGCCTGGCTTTTCCACTCACTAGCAAGTCCCTCAACCTCTCTGGCCCTGTTTCCATAACTGCAAAATGAGGGTAAGTGCTCCGAACTTGTGAGGCTGGGGAGCAGTACTACGTTCTTTTCCCTTTCCCTTCTCCATCCTGGAGAGAGGTCCCAGCGGAACAGTCCCCGCTGGGCTTGTCTGTACTGACAGCTCTCCCCAACCTGCCCCTGCCAGGATCCTCACACCGCCAACTGCTATGGTTCCACGAATAGTCCCCCTTCCCTTGGTGGTACATCTGTCCCCCACCACTCTCCCTCTCCCAGTGAGCAGGTCAGATTCCAGGCCCAAGTCCTTCCTGGCCTGATCTATCTTCCCTCCCTCCCTTCCTTCCTTCAATGGAGGCTCTGGATCCAGACTGCCTGAGGTCAAGCCCTGGCTTTGCCAATTTCTCACTGAGTAATGTGGGCAGTTTGCTTAACCTGAGACTATTCACTTAAGCTGAGACTACTAACAGGGCCCCCTTCCCAGTTGTGAAGCTTATGTGACATAATGTACGTGAAGCTTTAGAACACGCTTAACCCTACTGGCTGTTATCATTAACCGATCCATACTCATGTGACAAGCACATATCGAGGTCTTCTAGCAGCTTCTGGGGTCACCCATTGCTCTGGGATCTCTCTCAGGCGAAGGTCAGCCAACCCACCCTCTGAAGCTCTCGGGGAATGGCGGATGCACGCAACAGAACGTTACTGACCGCTAACGCAGACCTAGGCACCTGTCCAGTGGGGAACCAGGGAGGGTGAGATCCACTCCAGGTAAGGGGATGGAGAGGCTGGCTGGGAAAACGTCCCAGAGGAGGCAATGACTGAGTTTCCTCCTTATCCAGAAGGCAGTTACCAAGACCCTCCAGTGGACCACTTGCTGCGTTTTACGCTGAGTCTGGAAGGAGGGGGAGGAGATTTCCAAGTGGACAAGAAAGGCACTCCTGGAAGAGGAAGCAGTGTGTTCACAGGTATGGAGCTAAGGAACAGTGTGGCCAGAGGGGACAACTGCAGGCATCTGCGTGTGGACCTCGGAAATCAGGTACAAATCCACCCTGAATCTCAGTGAAACGTGATTCCTCTGGTGCTCAGGTGACCGTGGCCAGCAGGGCCCCCACTGGACAGCTTCTGGCGTATTCCTGCCCGCCCAGGTGGGGGACCCTGCACAGGGCGGGATGCCGTCGAACAGGACCTCACTCACATTGGGTACGAAGCCGGGCATCAGGGCCTTCTCCCACACCGCGTCCCAGTTCATGTCGGCCAAGTAGGGTGCACTCTGGACGTCACCGAGGCTGGACAGGCGGCTCTTGGGGTCCTTGGTCAGGAGCTGCAGGCAAAGGGCAAACGTGCTTGCTTGGGCAGTGCACCCCACCGAGGTTTGTGGGGGAATCCGAAGGCGGAGTCTTGGGAAAATGAAGGTGCCCTGCTTTCTGCGTTCCATGAGTGTCCTGTCCTGTTTGGGCTGCTGTGTTGGAAGCATCACCTACACTCATCTCTTTATAGCCAGGGAGGAACTGAGGGGTCAGGCTGCTGGAAGGTCATCCAGCAATGGGCTCTCTGGACAGGGACTAGATTTTTGCCTGCCGTGCTCCCCTTGGGAACTCGCACCCTGTGACATGCCACCTCTCAATGAGGTCTGCAGAGGTTTCCAATTAAAAATAAAAAGAATTAGCCACCTTGTTTTAGGACTTTCAGCTTGGTAATGGGATGCACAAAAGCATAATAAAATTTCTCCCTGGACAGCTATGAGGTGACCTCTGCAGTCTGATGGAATGGCCTCATTTGTAGCCAAGGGGTCAACTTTTAGCTTCCCTTCAAATGGAGTTTCTGCTAATAAGGGGTGATGCAGTAAAAGAAAAAAAAATAGCCGTACATTACCTTGCATCCAGAGGGGTTTTCAGCTTTCAAAACACTAGCTTATCTGGTGCAAGGACACTGAGGCTAAAAGTGAAAGACGGGGCCCAGCCCTGGGAGGGCCACTCGGTAGCAGCGTGGCCCCGGCTGAGCTGCTGACTGTGCTGTGCATGTTTCCTCCTCCGAAAGTAGGAAGGATAATGGTAACTCTTCCACTTCTGGCTCATGATTCAGATGAGACCCATAGGGGATGGATGAGGACCTGGGACACACCAAGGCAGGATGCCACCCCCAGCTGCTGGCAGGTGGGAGCTGGAATCAGGACCCCCCGCCAGTCGGCTCCCACCTGCCACTGCAGCGAGTGGGCTACAGTCACACCATGGGAGGGGCACCTGGCAGGGTCTCACCTGCTGATCACGGTGGCCTCTCTCTAGGAACTGTCCCCAGAATGACGGGTACAGATTTAAACAGAGATGCTGCTTCAATGCCCAGGGCAGGGCGGCGGTGGAAGGGGGTGGCCACCGTTTAGAGCAGCAGTTAGTTCTCTGACTCCTGGGTGGGAGTCAGAGGTGGGTGGGAGGTGGAGGTGTTGGCAGGTGGGTAGAGCTTCCAGGTGATTCCAATCAGCAGTTGGTTAAGGACTACTGATGTCTAAAACCCAGGGGGTGAATCTCCCCTAAAGCAATTTAACTAATGAGTAATTCCCTAAGTCATCTACAGAGTTTGGAGGGATTAAGAGCTGACATCTGGAGTTGAGAGAGCTTGGATTTAAATCCTCCTCTGCCTCCAACAGCCCTGTGGCAGTGAGTGAACGATCTGCTTTCCCGAGCCTCAGTTTTCCCATCTCTACTATGGGGGCACTAATACTACGCCTCTCACAGGGCATGTAAGGACTAAATGAGCAGAGCCCCCATATAACATTCCCCCAACCAGTGCTGGCTGCCGTCATCATAATTCCTCCATTAAAGGTGACTGGCGCTGACCACATGCAAGGCTCGACTCTGTGTCTCGGAGGATTCCGAGTGAGTTTAGCTGAATGCCAGCCTCAGAAGGAGGGCGCCACGACCCACTGCCCATGCTGAACTCGAGCTTATCAGAGCACAAACAACAGGGCCTGCCCCTCCATTTCTGATTCAGCAGGTCTGCGGGTGGAGCCTGAGAATCCGCATTTCCAACAAGTTCCCGGGGTATGCTGGTCCAGGAACCACCTTGGAGAACCACTGCTTTATTCTACTAGCAACTACTAGTTCCCAGGAAAAGTCAGGAGACGCCCAATGTCTTAAAGGTCAGTGAGTTAAAAGATGATTTGTAAAATTTTTAAAGAGCTATATGCATTAAATATTTCTAATTACTAGAAGCTTGTTGTGGAGTGAAAAGAGCCTGTGGGCTTTGTTGTCACAGACGTGACTAAAAGCCACCCTGTCCAGCGGCTTTGTGATCTCGATGCGGGATGGTGAGAGTGTTTACGACGAGGCATTAGAGCACCGCTGACTTTATTATTTCCACCACTGTCCCGCCATTCATTTTCTCATTCCTTAATCTGCTGGTCTGCCTGTTACTGCACTGAGTGCCCAGCTCCCTGGCCAGGTGGGCTGGCGGCTGCCCCCTTACCTTCTTCAGCAGGGCGACCATGCCCTTGCACCATGTGGAGGAGTAGTGGACACGCTCCACCTTGAAGATGTTGAGGATCTCATCGACGGGGGTGGCCGAGTGGATTTCATATGGCCTCTGCAACCAAAGGACAACAGGCGGCGTCAGAGAGAGAGACCCCACGTGGTTAAAACAGACATAGAGAACAGACTTGTGGTTGCCAAGAGGGAGGGGGAGGGGGAGGGATGGAGTGGGAGTTTGGGGGGGGGATGAATTAGGAGATTGGGATTGACATATATACACTATTGATACCATGTATTAAATAGATAACTAATGAGAACCTACTGTATAACACAGGGAACTCTACTCAGTGCTCTGTGGTGACCTAAATTGGAAGGAAATCCAAAAAAGAGGGGATATATATGTATGTATAGCTGATTCACTTTGCTGTACAGTAGAAACTAGCACAACATTGTAACGCAATTATACTCCAATAAATATTTTTTAAAAATAATAAAATAAAGTCAGCTCTGTGCCTTTAAGCTCCAGGCTTAGCCTTAATCTGTTTGTGTGGTTGTGGAGAAACCCAGGTCCTTCGACAAGAATACTGGCACATATTAGGATCCATATTCCATCTGCGTCAGGTAAAGAGCTCTACTGATGCTCGGTTCTCACTCATTGGCCTTAGGATGTCTTGACTCAGAAAACCACGTGGTCTTTATAAGGTAAAGTAATTACATGTTCTGCTGGTGAAAGTGATTTTAGCAACAGGGCACTGGATATACTCATTATAGAGTGGAGGTGCATCTCTATTCCAGGAAACTCAGTTTACTAAGATGGCCAATTTACCGAGAAATGGAAGAAACAGGAAAAGAACTGCGGTAGACCTGTTATTTTATTTTTTAAAATTTTTTTACGTCTCTATTGGAGTATAATTGCTTTACAATGGTGTGTTAGTTTCTGCTTTATAACAGTGAATCAGTTATACATATGTTCCCATATCTCCTCCCTCTTGCGTCTCCCTCCCTCCCACCCTCCCTATCCCACCCCTCCAGGTGGTCACAAAGCACCGAGCTGATCTCCCTGTGCTATGCGGCTGCTTCCCACTACCTATTTTACGTTTGGTAGTGTATATATGTCCATGTCACTCTCTCACTTTGTCACAGCTTACCCTTCCCCCTCCCCGTATCCTCAAGTCCATTCTCTAGTAGGTCTATGTCTTTATTCCCGTCTTACCCCTAGGTTCTTCATGACATTTTTTTTTCTTAGATTCCATATATATGTGTTACCATATGGTATTTGTCTTTATCTTTCACTCTGTATGACAGACTCTAGGTCCATCCACCTCACTACAAATAACTCAATTTTGTTTCTTTTTATGGCTGAATAATATTCCATTGTATATATGTGCCACATCTTCTTTATCCAATCATCCGATGATGGACACTTAGGTTGTTTCCATCTCTTGGCTACTGTAAATAGAGCTGCAATGAACATTTTGGTACATGACTCTTTTTGAATTATGGTTTTCTCAGGGTATATGCCCAGTAGTGGGATTGCTGGGTCATATGGTAGTTCTATTTGTAGTTTTTTAAGGAACCTCCATACTGTTCTCCATAGTGGCTGTACCAATTCACATTCCCACCAGCAGTGCAAGAGTGTTCCCTTTTCTCCACACCCTCTCCAGCATTTATTGTTTCTAGATTTTTTGATGATGGCCATTCTGACCAGGGTGAGATGATATCTCATTGTAGTTTTGATTTGCATTTCTCTAATGATTAATGATGTTGAGCATTCTTTCATGTGTTTGTTGGCAATCTGTATATCTTCTTTGGAGAAATGTCTATTTAGGTCTTCTGCCCATTTTTGGATTGAGTTGTTTGTTTTTTTGTTATTGAGCTGCATGAGCTGCTTGTAAATTTTGGAGATTAATCCTTTGTCAGCTGCTTCATTTGAAAATATTTTCGCCCATTCTGAGGGTTGTCTTTTGGTCTTGCTTATGGTTTCCTTTGCTGTGCAAAAGCTTTGAAGTTTCATTAGGTGCCATTTGTTTATTTTTGTTTTTATTTCCATTTCTCTAGGAGATGGGTCAAAAAGGATCTTGCTGTGATTTATGTCATAGAGTGTTCTGCCTATGTTTTCCTCTAAGAGTTTGATAGTTTCTGGCCTTATATTTAGGTCTTTAATCCATTTTGAGATTAATTTTGTGTATGGTGTTAGGGAGTGTTCTAATCTCGTACATTTACATGTAGCTGTCCAGTTTTCCCAGCACCACTTATTGAAGAGGCTGTCCTTTCTCCACTGTACATTCCTGCCTCCTTTATCAAAGATAAGGTGACCATATGTGCGTGGGTTTATCTCTGGGCTTTCTATCCTGTTCCATTGATCTATATTTCTGCTTTTGTGCCAGTACCATACTGTCTTGATTACTGTAGCTTTGTAGTATAGCCTGAAGTCAGGGAGCCTCATTCTTCCAGCTCCGTTTTTCGTTCTCAAGATTGCTTTGGCTATTCGGGGTCTTTTGTGTTTCCATACAAATTGTGAAATTTTTTGTTCTAGTTCTGTGAAAAATGCCAGTGGTAGTTTGATTGGGATTGCATTGAATCTGTAAATTGCTTTGGGTAGTAGAGTCATTTTCACAATGTTGATTCTTCCAATCCAAGAACATGGTATATCTCTCCATCTATTTGTACCATCTTTAATTTCATTCATCAGTGTCTTATAATTTTCTGCATACAGGTCTTTTGTCTCCTTAGGTAGGTTTATACCGAGATATTTTATTCTTTTTGTTGCAGTGGTAAATGGGAGAGTTTTCTTGATTTCACTTTCAGATTTTTTATCATTAGTGTATAGGAATGCCAGCGATTTCTCTGCATTAATTTTGTATCCTGCTACTTTACCAAATCCATTGATTAGCTCTAGTAGTTTTCTGGTAGCATCTTTAGGATTCTCTATGTATAGTATCATGTCACCTGCAAACAGTGACAGCTTTGCTTCTTCTTTTCCGATTTGGATTCCTTTTATTTCCTTTTCCTCTCTGATTGCTGTGGCTAAAACTTCCAAAACTATGTTGAATAAGAGTGGTGAGAGTGAGCAACCTTGTCTTGTTCCTGATCTTAGTGGAAATGCTTTCAGTTTTTCACCATTGAGGATGATGTTGCCTGTGAGTTTGTCATATATGGCCTTTATTATGTTGAGGAAAGTTCCCTCTATGCCTACTTTCTGCAGGGTTTTTATCATAAATGGGTGTTGAATTTTGTCAAAAGCTTTCTCTGCATCTATTGAGATGATCATATGGCTTTTCCTCCTTCAATTTGTTAATATGGTGTATCACGATGATTGATTTCCGTATATTGAAGAATCCTTGCATTCCTGGAATAAACCCCACTTGATCATGGTGTATGATCCTTTTAATGTGCTGTTGGATTCTGTTTGCTCGTATTTTGTTGAGGATTTTTGCATCTATGTTCATCAGTGATATTGGCCTCTAGTTTTCTTTCTTTGTGACATCCTTGTCTGGTTTGGTATCAGGGTGATGGTGGCCTCACAGAATGAGTTTGGGAGTGTTCCTCCCTCTGATATATTTTGGAAGAGTTTGAGAAGGATAGGTGTTAGCTCTTCTCTAAATGTTTGATAGAATTCACTTGTGAAGCCATCTGGTCCTGGGCTTTTGTTTGTTGGAAGATTTTTAATCACAGTTTCAATTTCCGTGCTTGTGATTGGTCTGTTCATATTTTCTATTTCTTCCTGATTCAGTCTTGGCAGGTTGTGCATTTCTAAGAATTTGTCCATTTCTTCCAGGTTATCCATTTAATTGGCATAGAGTTGCTTGTAGTACTCTCTCATGATCTTTTGTATTTCTGCAGTGTCAGTTGTTACTTCTCCTTTTTCATTTCTAATTCTATTGATTTGAGTCTTCTCCCTTTTTTCTTGATGAGTCTGGCTAATGGTTTATCAATTTTGTTTATCTTCTCAAAGAACCAGCTTCTAGTTTTATTGATCTTTGCTATCGTTTCCTTCATTTCTTTTTCATTTATTTCTGATCTGATCTTTATGATTTCTTTCCTTCTGCTAACTTTGGGGTTTTTTTGTTCTTCTTTCTCTAATTGCTTTAGGTGCAAGGTTAGGTTGTTTATTCGAGATGTTTCCTGTTTAAGGTAGGATTGTATTGCTATAAACTTCCCTCTTAGAACTGCTTTTGCTGCATCCCATAGGTTTTGGGTCGTCGTGTCTCCATTGTAATTTGTTTCTAGGTATTTTTTGATTTCCTCTTTGATTTCTTCAGTGATCACTTCGTCATTAAATAGTGTATTGTTTAGCCTCCATGTGTTTGTATTTTTTTTACAGATCTTTTCCTGTAATTGATATCTAGTCTCATAGCGTGGTCGGAAAAGATACTTGATACAATTTCAATTTTCTTAAATTACCAAGGCTTGATTTGTGACCCAAGATATGATCTATCCTTGAGAATGTTCCATGAGCACTTGAGAAAAATGTATATTCTGTTGTTTTTGGATGGAATGTCCTATAAATATCAATTAAGTCTATCTTGTTTAATGTATCATTTAAAGCTTGTGTTTATTTATTTTCATTTTGGGTGATCTGTCGATTGGTGAAAGTGATGTGTTAAAGTCCCCTACTATGAATGTGTTACTGTCGATTTCCCCTTTTATGGCTGTTAGTATTTGCCTTATGTATTGAGGTGCTCCTATGTTGGGTGCATAAATATTTACAATTGTTATATCTTCTTCTTGGATCGATCCCTTGATCATTATGTAGTGTCCTTCTTTGTCTCTTCTAATAGTGTTTATTTTAAAGTCTATTTTGTCTGATATGAGAATTGCTACTCCAGCTTTCTTTTGATTTCCATTTGCATGGAATATCTTTTTCCATCCCCTCACTTTCAGTCTGTATGTGTCCCTAGGTCTGAAGTGGGTCTCTTGTAGACAGCATATATATGGGTCTTGTTTTTGTATCCATTCAGCCAGTCTGTGTCTTTTGGTGGGAGCATTTAATCAATTTACATTTAAGGTAATTATCGATATGTATGTTCCTATTCCCATTTTCTTAATTGTTTTGGGTTTGTTATTGTAGGTCTTTTCCTTCTCTTGTGTTTCTTGCCTAGAGAAGATCCTTTA